CCCGGTAGTCAGGAGAGGCTACTTACTCTATCCGCCTGAGCAGTGGGAGCCCCTGACAGAATTGTGGGATCCCTCTGGCCAGACTGTTCTCTGCCAAGCTGTAGGGCAGGGAGACACCTGTGAGAGGAGTCCCCAGATCTCCCTGGCCTGTCCCTCTGCCCAGGCTCCATGGTCCCTACTCACCTGACCTCTTCCACATATGGGCATCCATCCAAGGCCTGGCTCAGGCTCAGCCCCCCCTCTGGGCCCAGACGGCTAGATGGCAGGCTGGAGAAAGGGGAGGAGGTGAGTGGGGCGTGGGGGACCAGTGTGGGAATTGGGAACCTTCCCAGATCACCCACACTCAGCATTGTTTCAGGCCGCACCATCAGACCTTACATGGTCTCTGGGTGCCTGCCACGCCCTGACCGCCTCCCCATCCACACAGGACCTGGGTGGGTATTAAGGGCCCTGGCTTTGGGGTCTGAGATCCCAAGTTCAAGGCCTGGCTCTTTCTTGTGTAAGTAAGGTAAGCTCTCCATGCCTCTCTTGGCTTTAGTTCCTTTGCCTGGAAAATGGAACAACTAGAAACTGCGGCCGCGGGGTTGCTGTGAGGCTCAAACGAGACCGTGGGCACGAACTCTGGTTTTTCTCCTGAGTCACCCTTTGCCGACGCACCCTCACTCACCCTCACAGACTGGCTCAGAGCTGAGACTATTACACTTCTTTTGCAGATGAGGAAACCGAGACTCAGAAGGGGTAGTGGCTAGGCCAAGGGCCAGTAAGGGGCTGGTGGCAACCCGGGACTAGGCTAGGTCTCCTGACAGCCCTGCCCCGGACTCCAGAGCCAGGCGAGGAGCGGGCAGGGTGGGGACAAGCAGCCCCAGCACACGTACCACGGTCTGACCTAAGGCAGGGCAGCTGGGCCAGTGGGGGCCTTGGTCCCCCACTGCTCCCAGGGAACCCCTCCCTGCTAGCCCTGCACCAGCCCCGGGCAGAGGGACACTCACTGCAGGATTCTCAGGTGTCGAGGCAGTCCCTGGGCCAGCCCCAGGGCTGTGGCATCCCCCAGGGCATTGCAGCCAAGCCTACAAGAGGAGAGGGAGGAGTCTGAGCAGGGGGCTGGTCTGCTCCCGACCCCTGCACTGCCCTGTGCCCACGTGGGGGACACAAAGGCCAGGAGGGCGGTGGGGACACAGAGGGCCACTGGCACTCATACTCACATCAGCTGCTCCAAGTGCCTGCAAAGGGCGAGAGATTCTGCCAATCGCGCTCCCCCAGCTGGGCCAATGCCATTTCCTGAGAGGCTGAGGGCGGGGCAGGCATTAGGCTCTTGGACACCCCATGTCCCCCCACCTGCTTAGGGCCCCAAGAGCCAGCATCCCTGCCACACACCTTCCCAGTCTGATGGGGGCAGAAAGGACCAGAGAGGAACGGGGCCTGGGCCAACTAAAGGTCCCAAAGCTGGCAGGGCCAGGAGGCCACCCAGCCCCACCACTTGCACACTGAGGTCTGGGGGAGGAATGTCAGCCCGAGGCGGGGGCCAGTGTCCACCCCGGCCGTGGTGTGGCCACTGAGGGGCCCTGTCAGCAGGACCAGCCACTCACTCTATCTTCCTGAGCTCCGGCAGCCACGGTAGGACGGCAGCTAAGAGCTGGGCACCGGTGTCTCCAATCTGGTTGTGGCTCAAGCTTGGAGAGAGAACAGGAGATGATCTGGAACCAGCAGCCTGCCACCCATGTCATTTTGTCCATGCCCCCCCACCCCCAGAACAGAAGAGGAGGCTGAAGTCTGGAGAGAGGCCTCAGCTCACACCGAGAGAGTCCCCTCACTCTGTGTTGGGTGAGGACTTCAAACTCCTGTCTTCTGTTTAGAATGTTCTCCCTGATGTCTGACCTGAATCCCTCTTGCTGCAATCCACACTCGCATCCTATCTCGGGGTCTCCTGGTGGTCTTGGCCTGGGGTCATGCAGTGGGGAAGTGGGTGAAGGTCATGGGACTAAGCAGGGAAGCGTGCTCTCAGGGAGCCCCTTGCTTTTATCAGCTGACCCTGCCAAAGTTGTCTTGGGTTGGGGGAGGGACAGGCAACTCATTCCAGCTCCTCCAAGCTGGTGGCAGCTCTGAGAGCCTCGGAAAGCGGGTGGCAGCCGACATCACAAACACCGTTCCTGCTCAGACTGGAGAAGCAGAGGACTTAGTGGGGAGCAGAGGCCTTTGCAGGTGCTGCGCTAAGAACTCTACAGTTTACAAAGCTTTTACACATCCTGGGGCGCCTGGATGGCTCAGTCGGTTAAACAGCTGACTTCAGCTCAGGTCATGATTTCACGGTTCGTGAGTTCGAGCCCCACATCAGGCTCTGCACTGACAGCTCAGAGCCTGGAGCCTGCTTTGGATTCTGTCTCCCTCTCTCTCTGCCCCTCCCCTACTCATGCTCTGTGTTTCTCAGAAATAAATAAAACATTAAAAAAAACCCAAACAAACACAAAGCTTTTACATAACCAGGAACCCATGTGCCCGTCACTAAACCTCAGGGGTTGGGGAGGGGGACAGGCGAGGTGGGCATGACTGTACCCAAAGTCCGGATGAGAAAACAGAGGACCAGGGAGGAGCCATGACTGGCCAAAGTCTCCTAGTGACTCCCAGACAAAGTGGAAATGAAAGCCTGGAGCCCCCGCCCCCCCATCCTGGAAGCAGTGGCCACATTCTCTGGTTGGGTCAAGCTTTGCCTCAGCCTCTGTACCAGGGATCTCCAGCCGGCTGAATGCCAAGTTCACGTGGGCTCTGCAATTCAGGCAAATCATTTCTCTAGGGCATAGGTACTCTAATCTATGCAAATGCTGGGCTTTTCTATAAAGCCAGTTTATTGTCTTTTCTGCACCCTGACCTTGCCCTGCCTCCATGAGGGGGGAGAAACAAAACGAAACAAAACAGCTGAGGCAAACTGTCTTGGCCCCATGTTGAGCCTTTGAAGATTGTTTTGTTTTCTTTCATTTCACAAAATCAACTTCAGTGAAGTGCCTTTCTAGAAATTAATTTTGGATGGAATGACCTAGTCTCATCTGATATGCTTCCAGAACTCTCTGACCGTGCATTTACCACCCACTCCATACCGCTAGCATCGGGGGTGGGGACTTGGGTGAAAACAAAGCAGTGTTTTGTGCTGTTGCTGGGGTTTGTTCTTAGCCACCACATTTCGTATTTTGAAAAAAATCACATGAAAAGGAAGTGTTATATCTGTTAATCAAGGTGGCCAGGGGCCCAAGGCGAGAATGTCAAAGTCACCAGATCTGAGTCTAGACCCTCATTACTCAACGTGTGTGGTCTGTGGCCCCCAGACTTGGTATTACTTGGGGGCTTGTCACACTGGGTGAATTTGTGCACATTAAGGGTCGTGCCAGGACTTGGGCCCGACCCCTTCAGGTCACTTCCGTAGCCAGGAGGAAGCTGGTGGCATCCAAAGGCAAGAGGAGTGGGCACCGACCTGGGAGGGCAGCGATGTCCCCAGCAGAGGAGCCACAGAGGGTCCTCAGGAAGTCCCCCTGGTGCTTCCCTGGGTGGGTGGTCCCAGTGGAACTGGGGAGCATGCCCTCCCACTCATTCCCTCGGGCTCGGTCACTCACCGGAGGCTCTGCAGGAGGGTCATGTGTCTCAGTCTTTGAGTGAGCACGGCCAGGATGGAGCCGCCCAGTGGGAGATGGCTGAGGCTGGAAGAGAAGAGGCCAGAGGAGGGCTTGGTATGGCTGGGGTTGGGTCCCATGGGCAGACTGAGGCCCTGTCCAGTCTGGGGGCTTGAGGCCTTGGTGCTAAGCAATGCCCAGGGACCCCCAAGATAGCCACTTACATCCACAGCGAGTAAACACGTTGTACAAAACGAAACTGCCTGGGAAATCCAAAGGCCGTTTCTCTGCGTGGATTAAGGCCATCCAGGCAACAGTTCTATGTTCCAAATCACACTGGACCCAGACTGTTGACCAGGAATCATAGCAACCACTGTATACTAGCATACTATTACTGAGCACATACTATAGGCCAAGCACTGAGCTCAGGGCCGTCCTGAGAGGTGGAACTCTTATCACCCCCATTTTACAGATGAGGCACACTGAGGCTCAGAGCATTAGAAAACTTGTTCAAGGCCACACACAGAAAGTAAAAGCCCTGGGAACAGAAGCCAAGGCTACAGGACTCCCATTCCTGGACCCCAACTACCTGTTACCCATGGGATCACACTCCTTAAGGCCCCCCGTCTGGGCAGGAGAGAGGAATAATAATAATAATAATAATAATAATAATAATAATAATAATAGTCAATACTTGTAGAGTGTGAACTCTGTGCCAGGCTCTAAGGACTTAATACGTATTATCTCATTTAATCGTTATAACAACCCACGGCGGTAGGTACAGCTGTTATCTCCAAAGTCAAGATGGAGAGAAAAGCACAGAGAAGTCAAGTAATTCGCCCGAGCTCACACAGTCAGAGGTGGAAGCAGGAGGTGTCCTGGTTTGCCTAGATTTATCTTTGTACTTTGCAAATTTCCCTATGCTACGTCGTGGTGTTGAGCTGTTTTTGTTGATTTTAAGGGGCATTCTCTGTGCCTCCCAGACTTGAATGCCTGTTTCCGTCCCCAGATTAGGGAAGTTCTCAGCTATAATTTGTTCAAATAAAACTTCTGCCCCTTTCTCCCCACTCTTCTTCTTCTGGGATTCCTATGATCCAGATACTGTTTCATTTTATGGAGTCACTAAGGTCTCTAAGTCTCTCTTTGTGATCTAAGAATTTCCTCTCCCTCTTTTTTTCAGCTTCATTGTCCCCCATAATTTTATCTCCTGTATCACCTACTCTCTCCTCTGCTTCTTCAATCCTCATTGTGACTGTATCCAGTCAGTTTTGCATCTCAGTTATAGCATTTTTTTATTTCAGCCTGGCTGGTTTTTGGGTCTTTGATCTCCACAGCAAGGGTTTCTCTGGTCTCTGGCTTGCCTGGATTTGAGGGGGTCTCCAGGATGCGGGACTTTCAGCTCTGGGCAAACTGGGACAGACGGGTCACCTTACTGAGACTTGAACCCAGGTGGGGTGGCTCCTAACCAGGGTCCGTGCCCCTAATCACTTGGCCACGGATGGACAGGTGGAAGACATCAGCTGGAGAGCTCAAGGAGAGCTGCCTGTCAGGGAGGAGACCCTGGGAAATGACAGATCTGAAACCGGAAGAGGTGTCTGGGCAGTGAGGATCCATCTCCTTTGTGGCGTGGGTCAGTTTGAGCGAGTATCTATTTCCAGCGACCAAGCACTTTGATGGCACTCAGAGCCAGGCGAGGAGGTAAAAGGGAGGGCATTCGGCTCACCTGCATCCATCCAGGGATTTCACAGTTTGTGTTCGCAGGAGATGGAGAGGTTCCTGGCCATGCTCCCGACTCCTCCCCACCTTCCCCCCTTCACCATTCACCACCACTTACTCCAGCCTCTTCAGCCAGCACTTGCCCTCGAGGACCCCCATCAGCACTCTGGTGCCCTCCTCGCCAAATTGATTGTTGGACAAGCTGGAAGGGACCGGGTACGAGGTGAGTGTTAGACGAGCCCCCTGGCTCCTGGAGCTGTCTCATCAGCCCCCTCCGTCTCTCAGTGCCCCCCCTGGAGGGCAGCTCTGGGTCTGCAGATCCTAGACCACCGTCTTTGTCCAGGCCCCGCCAGGGCACTGCTGGCTCTAAGGGCCAGACACGGCCATCACAGCTGACCCAGCTGAGAAAGGATGCCTTGGATGAGGGCTGCAAAAGGGGAAGCCGGGGACAAGGGACACACACGCACACACACACGCACACACACACACACACGTGCAGTGATCCCTTCTGCCCCGGAGCCCTCACTGTACCCTGGTACCCACAGCCACCCCAGGCAGAGAAAGAGGATGACCCCCATTTTACATGAGACAGTCCAAACCCAGAGAGGCACAGTTATTTATTTGTCCAGGGTCACCCTGAGTGAGTGGTAAGTTGGGACCAAGGAGACAGTGCTCAGCTCCCCCAGGCCACACCCAGGGTCTCTGGGCTTCATCGGGGAGCAAAGTGATAGGTGGAGTCCCCCATCCGCCTTATCAGAGCCTCAACTGTCCTCACCACCCTCAGCTGGGTCACCCCTTCCCCCCACCTCCCCACTCCCAGCTCCGCGACTCACTCCAGCTCCTCCAGGTGGAGGCAGTGGCTCAGACCGGATGTCAGGTGGGCCAGACCCTCGGACCTCACACAGCTGCAGGTCAGCCTGTGGGGGTCAAAGGGCAGCAGGTCAGGTAGGGGCTGTGGGTCTTGAGAACCCCGAATGCCGAATGCCGGTAGCAGAGAGCAAGGAGGAGGGGTGGGGCGGGGGGAAGGGGCCCTCCTTCCCTTCATAAACCTCCCTGCCACGGAATCATTAAGCTGAGGTATAGCTTGGAGGCAGGAGCATGGACTAGTTGAGCATTTCCCTAAACCATATTCAGGTAGCAACTTCACAATGTAAGCCACGAAGTCTAGCTAGCTACTATCTTTGACCGTGAGCTCTGCCTCTTTAGTTCAACAGCAAAAGCGAGTAGCAAGTACTGGAGAGGTGTTAAAGGTGCCCTGGCACCAAACGGACACCTTCTCCTTGATGCAATCAGTCGGATTCAAAGAGAACGAAAAGTTAGAAAAGCTCCATTTTGCAACCATCATACTGATACTTGACCCAGGCAAGAATTATCAATGGAGGTTGAAATCTGTAGATTTCAGATGGAAATGTGAGGAAGGACAGGATGTTTACACAGTCTTAAAGTATCGCCCTACAAGATACAGGTTAATTAGAAAGGGGAAAACAGTCGCCTTGCAAGGGAAGAAACCTGGCAGACACCAGCTTAACCAGGTGATCCCAGTTACCCGTCGCCAGTCAGGGGACAAAGAGACAACATGTCTCCAGGGAAAAAACGCAACATCACCTCTGTGATATTTCTGTTCCACACACAGGACATAAATCTAAACATGAGGAAACATCAAAGCCAAACGGAAGGACGTTTTACAAAATCACTGGCATGTAAATGTCATGACAATATCATGCGCGACAAAGAAGGCCTAAGGACCCTTCCAGATTGTCAACTAGTGTTGGCAAATAACAACTAAGTGCAGTGTGTGATCCTCGGTGAAATCCAGGACTAGGAAAAAAATGCAACAAACAACATTAGGGGGACATTTGGCAAAATGGGCACAGAAACGGTAGTTCTGATAACACGCATGTGCCAATGTTACATTTCCTGCATTTTACACTTTTACTGGGTCACGGGAGAGCATGTTCTTGTTCTTAGAAGATTCCCTGAAATAGTAAGGGGGGAAGGGGCAGGTTTATGCAACTGCTTCCAAATGGCTCAGAAAAAAGAGAGAGGGAGAGAGGAGAAGAGCAGAGAGGAGGGATGAGGAAGGAGGGAGGAAGGGAAAAAGAGCAAAGGTGAAAAAATATTGACAAGGGGTGAATTTGGGAAAATGGTATATGGAACCGCTTCTCGGTCTTTTATTAGTTTGCGATTATTTCAAATAGGAAAGAAAAAGAAAAAGAAAAAGCATTGGAAAGGAAATCATTCTCTGCCATACGGCCATGTGGATGACCACACACCTTGACTTTCCAGAGCCACGGAGTGGTCCCAGCCCCCAGGGTTAGTTCCTCTGAGCCCAGGGCTGGGGAGGGCGGGAAGTGCGGGGGCAGAGCAAGGGGGTGCAAGGGGGCGCGTGAACATCTTGTCTGCATACCGGAATGTCTTCAGCTCAGAGAGGGACGGCAGGAGGCTCTGCAGCAGCAGGGAGCTGGTGTCGCAGAGGTTCACCTGGGACAAGCTGAAAAGGCGCAAGCATATTCTGGAGGATTTCAGGTGGGATGCTCCTCAGGGAACATCCATCACATAGAGATGGGGAGGCCAAGAGGGGGAAAAGAGCCACCCAAGAGTTCCCAGTGGGGGCACCTAAGCCACCCTGGAGCTCTCCTCAACTGGCCAAGTATGATTCTCTCCTGCTTGGGGAAGCAAGAAGGCCACAGAAAGCAGTGCTGCCCCAGGCTCTGCTCCTCCCCATCACAGACTGGCCAGCCTCTCCCATGTGGCCTGGACTGGGTACGGGGGTGACCAGAGACCTCGGGACCCTAGGAGGTGTTTCAGGGTTCTGACCTGAGCTGCCGCAGCCTGGCACATGTCTCCATCAGCTGCCAGACAAGAAGATTGTGGTGGGTCCCAAGGTCACAATGAGCCAACCTGGAGGTAGATAGGGAGGCAGCAGTTTCTGAACACCTGGGTTACTACTGGGGACTCAGTCCCTGCCTACATGGAGCTTACCTTTTAGGGATAAATAAATGCTAATGAAATAAAGTCCCACAACTTTCTATTCATTTATGGGAAGTGCTATGAAGGAGAGGTCCAGATGGGGCATCTGGTATGGCTGTGCAGGTTGTTCACCGCACAAGGGGACCCAGCCAAGAAGGTGAGCTGGGGCCGAGTTCCAGCTATGATCTATTTCCCAGAATGTACACATGCAGGGCTGTGCATTCACCTAAAAGGGGTGATGTTTTAGTTTCCAAAATGTGCTGCATGGATTCGGGGTGCTGTGAATCCAAGCATCTGTAGGAGTGGATCACGGGAGAACCTGATTCTTTCTGGGGGTTCAGAGGGGCCTTCCTGAAGCAGTGGTGTTTAAGCTGAGACCTGGAGAATGGGGTGGGGGGCAGGTAGCCAGGTGAATCAGAAGGAAGAGGGTAGGGGGAGAGAGAACATTCTGGTCCAGGAACAGCCTGTTCAAAGGCCCTGAGGTGAAAGGGAGCAAGGTGGTGTTGGAGGAAGTGAAAGATGGTGGGGGTGACTGGAGCTGAGACTAAGATCTGGGGTGGGGATGGACAGCATGGAAAGGCAGGTTGGGCCGGCTTTCACTGGCCCCCTAGACACTTTGGACATCAAAGGACTCTGAGCGACGCATGAGAAATATTGATCAGAAGCAGCAGGTGCCCCCACCCCTACCCCACCGCCGGCTACTCGTCTGGGGGTCCAGGTACTAGGTCCCACCTGAGGGCCACGGCCTCTGGGTTCTCCTGGCGGGGAAACTCCAGCTGGAGACAGAGTTGCTGCTGGGCCTCGGCAATGCTGAGGAGGGAAGGGGTAGCCAGTGTGAGGGCTGCAGCTGTCTCCCATGGAGGCTGAGCTCCGGACTGAGGCTGCCAATCGACGGACTCTAAGCTCCCAGACCCGGTAGGGACCAGACTCGGGGCAGCGGGACCCCACAGACTCTGCTCTTAGCTGCCCTGTGTCATCTCTGTGGCCTCCGGTCATAGAGCCACACTGAGCATTACTGTCATCCAGGGGCCGCTACCAGGCAAGCGGCACGGCCTCCCGGCCGTGCACCCCCGTGATCCAACAGCTCTTTGCATCCGCAGCTGCCTTCCTCTTTCTGGCACGGTGGCCTCATTACTGCATAAGTCACGACACGTGTGTGTAGCCCCTGCCATCTTGGGGATCCAGAGAATTTGCTAGTGACAGAGCTGTTAGCCCACAGGCCAAGAGACCGATGTCTAGGGTAGGGGCGGTCCCAACAGTCTTGAAAAGATGAAGCATTCAGAGCAGCCTCCTCCCTCGACTCACCTGATTTCCGTGATGTTGCCTGAGGCCTGGGTGCAAACTTCCAGCAGGGCGAGGACCCCGGCTTTGCCTACCCATGGTTCCTCCACCCTGTCACAGAAGCAGAAGGAGATGAAGGTCCCAGGCTGAGCAGGGGAGGGCGTGGGAGGAGGGCCAAGGAGGCTTTTTGGTTTGACTTATTTAAAAACTATAAAATTACACAACCACGCACAAACATAAAACAGGAAATTAACATCATCCTTGTTCCGACAGTTACTGTAACAATCCTAACAGAAAATATTCTTTTTTAAACAATAGCTTTAGACTTAAGGAAAGGCCTATATAGCATTATGTGGCAAAGATAAGGAAATAAAATTGTATATAAAACATCCCAATTTGTATTTAAAAAAAAGAAGGGGTGCCTGGGTGGCTCAGTTGGTTGAGCATCTGACTTCGGCTCAGGTCACGATCTTGGGGTTCATGAATTCGAGACCAACGTCGGGCTCTGTGCTGACAGCTCAGAGCCTGGAGCCTGCTTCTGATTCTATCTCTGTCTCTGTCTCTCTCAAAAACAAGTAAACATTAAAAAAGTTTTTTTATGTTTATTCATTTTTTTTGAAAGACAGAGAGAGACAGAGTACAAGCAGGGGTGGGGCAGAGAGAGAGGGGGCGGGGGACACAGAATCTGAAGCAGGCTCCAGGCTCTGAGCTGTCAGCACAGAGTCTGACATGGGGATCGAACTCACGAACTGTGAGATCATGACCTGACCCGAAGTTGGATGCTCAACCGACTGAGCCACCCAGGCGCCCCAAAATAAATAAACATTTAGGAAAAAAAATTAACAAGGAAAAATATGAGAGGGGAGAAAACATGGAGAGAAACAGAGAGACAGAGATACAAGAAAAATATATTAAATGCTAAGGCTGGTTGTTTAGACGGTAGAATTCTCACAAATGGTTTTTCCCCTTTTTCCTTAGTTTCCAATATTTTCCAGACTTTCTACAATGTGCATGCACTAATTTAGAAGCAGAAAAAAAAAAGAGTTGTTTAAAATATTTCTGCTTTTGAAGTTATGTTGAATTTTTTTTTTCAAAGTACTATTTTCTTATGTTCATCTGGATTTTCCACAAATCTCTACGAGTATGTGTTATTTTTAGGGAACGGAAAGTTTTCATTTAAAGCATTATTTTGGGTGCTCCAGGAATTCTGGGTATATACCCAAAAGAATTGAAAGCAGAGATACAAAGAGAGATTTGTACACTCATGTTCACAGTGACTAATACAGTCACTGTATTGGCCACAGTCACTGTGGCCAAAAGGTGGAACAGCCCAAGTGTCCACGGACGGATGAATGGATAAACAAGATGTGGTGTGTCCCTACAATGGAACGTCAGCCAGCCTTTTAAAGGAAGGAAATTAATGGGGAGCCTGGGTGGCTCTGTCAGTTGAGAGTCCTACTTCAGCTCAGGTCATGATCTCGCGGTTCGCGAGTTCGAGCCCCGCGTCGGGCTCTGTGCTGACAGCTCAGGGTCTGGAGCCTGCTTCGGATTCTGCGTCTCCCTCTCTCTCTGGCCCCCACCCCCACTCATGCTGTCTCTCTCTCTCTCTCTCCCTCAAAAATAAACATTAACAAAATTTTTTAAATAAAATAAAAGGAAGAAAAGTCTGACATGTGCTACAACATGGATGAACCCTGAGGATCCTGTGCTGAGTGAAATCAGCCAGTCACAAAAAAGACAAATACTGTACAATTCCACTTATAGGAGGGACCTAGAGCAGTCAAATCCATAGATTCAGAAGGTAGAATGGTAGTTGCCAGGGGCTAGGGAAGGGGGAAATGGGGATTTGTTCAAGGAGCATGAAATTGCAGTTTTTCAACCAAAGAGGTGGGGTTGAACGACAACGTGAATGTACTTAACACTCCTGAACTGTACCCTTAAAAATGGTTAAGATGGTAAATTTCACGTTATGTATATTGTACTGTAATTAAATAAGGATGTTATTTCGGGGAACAACCAGACTCACACGCCTCATCACTGGCTGTGCTGAGAGGTGCACAGCACTGGCCACAAAAGAAGTTTTTTGGACACAAAAATGCAGCTGAATCTCACGGAGCCTCTTCTGATGTAACTTCCATTCCAGGAAAGTCAGGGATTTAGAGGAACAAACACAGTGACGTCACAGAGCCGGCAAGGGAGTCTATAGCACACGGCCGGTTTTGTCCACAGGTCACTGGCATAAAAGAGGAAAGTGGGGAAGGGGATACAGATTAAGAGTCCTAAGAGCCCCCCCCCCCATGCCAACACGGATCTTGCCTGGATCCTGGGTCCAACGAGCCAGCTGCCCCATTTGGGGGCGATGGGAATTTTCAGACCGGATTGGGTAATCACGACACTAAGAACTGCCACTGACTTTCCTGGGTGTCCTAATTCAACCGTGATTATGTACAAAATGTCCTCATATTTAAAGATCCATGGTGAAATACTTAGGAGTAATTTTTTGTTTTAATTTTTTTTTTAACGTTTATTTATTTTTGGGACAGAGAGAGACAGAGCATGAACGGGGGAGGGGCAGAGAGAGAGGGAGACACAGAATCGGAAACAGGCTCCAGGCTCTGAGCCATCAGCCCAGAGCCCGACGCGGGGCTCGAACTCACGGACCGCGAGATCGTGACCTGAGCTGAAGTTGGACGCTTAACCGACTGAGGCACCCAGGCACCCCAGGAGTAATATTTTATGGGATCTATGGCTTATTTGGAAACACTGTAGCCAGAAAAACAAAATTAAGATATGAAACAAATATAGAGAACCCTGAACATCTGTCAAACCCAGGTGATAAGAACATGGGTCTTCAAAATTAGTCTACTTTTTAGTATCTTCAATGCTTTTCTGAAAGTTTTAAAATGATCATAGCAAACATGCACACATGGTATTTGTTATATATTATTATTTTTAAAAATTTTAATGTTTATTTTTGGGAGAGAGAGAATGAGTGCGAGCAGGGGAGGGGCAGAGAGAGAGAGGGAGACACAGAATCCGAAGCAGGCTCCAGGCTCCGAGCTGTCAGCACAGAGCCCCACACAGGGCCTCGACCACGAGATCGTGACCTGAGCCAAAATCGGATGCCTAACCAACTGAGCCACGCCGGCATTCTGTTATATATTATTTTTGACCTCAGCCGGGTGTCCTTGGGGGTTTCCTTTTTTTCTTATGTTTCGAAGCATAGGCCCCACCTCAAGGAGAGCGGCTTCTCTGTGTGCTAAGGGGGTTTCTGGGACCACTGTCAGGATCCAAGTGGTGGGGTTTGGGTGCAGGAAATGGCTGGGGCCACAATCCTGGGGGGCCCATCCTCCAGTAGCCACCCTGACCCCATTCACGCCACAGCCCCCTCCCAGGGCCACAGAGGAAGACAATACCTGAGATTGAACAGTCCCACAGGCCACCTCACCAGACTCAGGAGAACAGTCAGCTGCTTCAGGCCCAGGCAGCACTGGGTCAGCCTGGGGACAGAGGTCCATTACTGGGGTGGCTCTCACAGGGAGTCCCTGTCCCTTCACCTCCCTTGTGCCGGGTCACTCACGTGAGCGCTGTAGGCTTCAGGCCCTGGTTCAGGCCGGTGGCCAGTCTGGGTACATGCTCTGGCCTGAAACTGCACTGGCTCAGCCTGAGGGCAGAGGGGAAGGGGCAGAGCCCAGGTGAGGCCTGTGGGAGCTGTTGTCCTGCTTCCTCCTGTCTGCCCCAGGGTCTATGGGGAGCCCCACCCTGAGTGCAAAGGCCTGGAAGCCAGGCCTCGGAACGGGCCAAAGGGGCAGTTCTTGCTCTGGGAGCTTCCCGTCTCTCCACCCCCACCCCGACCCCGCCAAGAAGGGGCCGGGAGTGTCACTCATTGAGCCCTGACTATATGCCAAGCCGTGTGCCCGCCTCTGGGTACACCGGGTGAGCTTGCCTTACGTGCAGTATCTCGCGGAATTCCCAGCACATCGTTTACAGGCAGAGAAACCAACTAACCCGGGACGCACAGCTGGTGAGCGGTGAGGGCAGAATCGGGTCAGCCTGACTCCGGACCCCAAGCCTACCTACCGCCACAGCCCTACTCCCCAGTACGGCTTTACTCCAGGCTCCCTTGGAGGGAGGAGGCCTGGGACTCTGGAGGGGGCCCCACCCTCCTGGCACTCTGGTCCTGGGTGGCCCAGGGCAGTTCACTCCCAAGGGACAACAACGAGGCTTCCACGAGAGGCTGACATCTGCTGCACATTAAAGGACAGGGGGAACTTGATTTCAGAAACCACAGGGAAGAGTGTCAGGCTGAGTGCCCCGTGGGAAGGAGGCTTCAGCGGGCCATGTGTGCTCTGAACAAGGAGTGAAGGTCCCGTGGGCTGAATGTGTGGGTGCATGTGTGTGTGTGTGTGTGTGTGTGTGTGTGTGTGTGTGGTGTGAGTGTGGTGTATATGTGTGTGATATTGGGGGGTGAGGAGGAACACAGTAGGAAGTGGCAGCTAGATCAGACTGTGAGGAAAAGGCCAAGCTGAACAACTTGAAACCTATTCTGGGGACACTGAGAGCCACCAAAGGGCTTGGCACGATGGAAAGGGCACAGTCTGACGTGTGCTGGGAGATCCCTCTGGCTGCTGGGAAGTGAATGGATTAGGGGAGGCCTGGCCAGAGGCCGTGGACCGGTTCAGAGGCCATGATCACAGCTGAAGAAAGACATATAGGGGAAGTGACCCAAGACAGTGGTGGTGAGGCCGAGAGGGAGTGAGCCCAAGGCTACTGGTGAGTAATAACAACTGATACAGCACTCGCGAGCCAGGCCCTTTCCGAGCACTTTACGCTTATCAACTCATTTAATCCTCATAATAACCCCAAGGGTCTGTCTTACTATTATTCCCATCTTACAGATGAGGGACTGAAACAGAGAGGTTAAGTCACTTGTTCAAGGTCACCTGGCTGGGATTTACCCTCAGGTGGCTCCAGAGTCTGAGCGCTTAACCACGATACTCAGAAGTTTCCAGACTTAAGACATGGCTAAGAGGCGCGAATACAACACAAAGGCCTGGCCGCAAGGACTGGAGGTGTGGGGGGCCTGGGGGCAGATCTGGGGGAGGCAAACCCAAGCCGTGAGCATGACGCTGGGTGTCTGACGGAGGAAAGGGCCCAGCGAAGGAGGCACGGAGGCTGCTACGGGGTCAGTCTCTTCTTCCCCATTCCCTCCCCTTTATCCTCACCCCAGACCAGGAATTACCGTAATGTCTTCCCAGCCTCCTCCTCTCGGGAGAAGTGGATCCAGAAGCTTTGCTCAGAGCCCAGGCTGCAGAGAGAAGGGTGTGGGGAGGCCCAGCATCCTGAGACCCAGACACCAGGGGGTACACCAGGGAAGGGGGCTGGGCCCGCAGGGGGAAGGCAGACCAGAGGAGACCCCCAACCCACTCTGTGAGGGACACTGAAGCCCGGCCTTCTCCATCCTGTGACCTCCCTGGTCCCTATGTCACGCAGGCCTCAGGATGGAAACTATGATCCCCCATTCAGTGAACGCTGAAAGGGGAACAAGTTGCCCCAAGTCAGACAGAGGGCTGCTAAGCGTGGGACCTTTGCTTCTCCCCCCATCAGCAAGTGGCACCAATCTCTTACTTCACGGAGGCCTCCCGGACACGTGGGCAGGAGGGGAGAGTCTTCACCAGGCACAGAGCACCTTCCACGGAGATGCTGTTGTGACTCAGACTGGAAGAGGAATGAGGCTCAGGATGGGGGCGCACCTCAGGGCAGCCCTGCCCAGCGCCCCTGTCTCCTCTCTTCCAGCTGTCATCTCTGGGAGGAGAGTCCTTAATGTCCAGATGCAGACTCTGAGGTCCAGAGAGAGGCCAGAGGGGCACTATCCCTGGCGGGTCAGACACCGGGCCCCGAGTCCTCAGGAGTTGGGGCTGACACAGGGTCCTTGTGGTCTGAGACAGGGCTGATGAGGCCAGGCCGGCAGCTCCAGCCCCAGGGGCTCAGGGAAACCCAGAGCCCAGCTCAGCTGCCTAGCGACCTGCTGTGTCTGGCCACCACTCTGTGAGTCACTGGGGTATCGGCTGAGAGTGTGGGTGACTTCCTAGGGGCCCTCCCTGCTGTGGGAACATCTCCAAATCTGTGTCCCGTAGAGTTAGTCAAGGGGAGCTGCAGGGACAGGATGGACCAGAGCCAGGACAGCTGGTGTCCTGCATCAGCTGGTTAGAGACAAACTGTCACTTCCCTGTCCCAAAGTCAGCTTGGGTCACCACGCTTTAGTTACAGCTTCTCCTGGATGCCTGGTGGGGGCTCTGCCTATGGTGGGCAATGAGGGAGAGAGGGGCGGGTATGGGGCTGTCCCCCAGGCTGCTCATCACTTACTCAAGAGAAGCGGAGATGGGCAACTGAGGCAGACATTCCAGTAGGCACTGGAGCCCGTCATCACCCAGCAGGTTTGCAGAGAGGCTGCGAGAGTCAGGAAGAAGTCGGTGGTGGTCAGATGCGTCCCCTCGGCCGGGGCCTTTCTCTTCACAGTTACTATCACTGCTACCCAACCCACACAGGACTGCTTCCGTGCCAAGGTCACCATCATGCTGTCGCTGTGGTGGGACAGCACCATGCCCACCTCCATCGCACCATCTCTGGCACCCCCTGCACAATCGCCCAGCACACAACAGCTCCTGCACTGCCCACTACCGCCCCCTGACCAGCACCACAGGCTGGGGTCACCTCACCTACTGGGGCCCCCGGGCCTCCAGCAGGCTCCCCGGAGTTAGAGAAAAACGAACTTGCCTTTACTGTGCCCTTGGCCCACATCAGTTGAGAACCGCAACTTTTGCACAAGAGTAAATTCAGGAAAAAGAAAGATGTTTGGAGGCCGCGTTTACCCAGGAGGTTTCTTCTTTTAATTCGGGAATGTAATATCGGAAATTGCACTTGAATACTTTATTTGCCCTCACTGAAGCCTCCTATGGTTTTAGCTACAGTTGCAGGAACAGTATGATCAGCAGGCCTGGAATATCTGATTCTTGTCTTGCATCTTTGAACTCATTTTGTCCCTGATGATGACTCTTTTGAGGCTTGTCTTTTTCGGAGAGACTTTAAAAATTAAAACTCGGTGTGTCTCATAAAGCCACTTGATAAAGTAATCTTTACAATTAGAAAAATTTCCCTCTACAATGAAAAACAGGAAAACTCAAAGCTGTACTGCTGATTTACCTAATATGTGATTTCCCCATTTCTCTTGGCCACATCACAATAGGAATTTAAAGTGTGTGTGTGTGTGTGGGGGGGGGGGGGGGGGGGGTTGGCGCGCGTGCGCACACGTGCTTTTAGACAGCTCTCTTTATGTCCCACTGGTCCTAAGCTGGACGCCTAGCAGTTGTGAGCAAAGACTGCATCATCCTAGCTATGTGACCTTGGCAAGTCCTTAAATCCTCCCTGAATCTCAGTTCTCTCATCTATAAAATAGGGGACAATAGTACCTAGGGTTTGGGGAGGGCAAAAAGAATATGTAAAGCACTTAGCACAGTGGAGAAAGTGCTCAGGAGGTGTTACCGATTTTAATTTTTCTACCCATCTGGGGGTTGTGCTACTTGGGCACCCAAGACAGGTCATACAGGTGCCACCTCTCAACAATATAAGGGCCCATGAGGCCTCGCCCCAGCTGGTTCCCGGACCCTCCTCAGGCTGAGCCATCTGGTACCTTTAACCACTTGCCAGGCAGACCAAAGGATCCTTCGTTTTGGTTCCCATCTGCCAGCAGAACTCCAATGTCTTATCATCATGAGGCCAAGGGGCTCTTACAGCCCTGTTCTGGAGAGCTCCCCAAATTAGATCAAGGGGCGCAAGCTGAACTAGCTCCACCATGGCAAGAGTAGGGGGTGGAAGAGATAAATGGGTACAGGGAGGGGCGCCTGGGTGGCGCAGTCGGTTAAGCGTCCGACTTCAGCCAGGTCACGATCTCGCGGTCCGTGAGTTCGAGC